TTGTACTTTTTAAAAATATAGAAACTTTTTTGTTTATATCTCTTCCTTGTCTCATTATAATTGTTATTAATTTTGAGGTTAATGTAAATTTTTTCCCAGCAAATTAATTTCGATTCACATTCTTTTTGGGGGGGCACCCTTCCCAGTTACACAGTGGCACTTATTTTATCATACTGCTTTTATGTAACATACTTTTCCTTTATAAACAGGGAGTGGAGTGCTTTCTTGCTCACTTTTCCTTTTAAAAAAACAAATACTGATGCCCTAATAGAAGGCACTGTGTTTTGGTCACATACGAGTTTTGGTCAAGAGTTATATTTTCAGGGGCGCCTGGGTGGCTCAGTCGTTAAGCGTCTGCCTTCGGTCGGGTCATGATCCCGGGGTCCTGGGATCGAGCCCCGCATTGGGCTCCCTGCTCCGCGGGAAGCCTGCTTCTCCCTCTCCCACTCCCCCTGCTCGTGTTCCCTCTCTCGCTGTGTCTCTTTCTGTTAAATAAATAAAATCTTTAAACAAAAAGTCATATTTCCACATTAAAATGAGAAACTGTAAGGCTGGGGTAGGAGACATTCAGCCATATTTACTAATTAATCACAACTGAGGTTTGATCCAGATGTGAGAGAAATTGAAATTTTCCCTGTGTGGTTGGAGGATTTCAGAGGCATAAAGTTACATTAATTTGTGAAAGCAAGCTTACAGAGTTTCTCTAGTCTCTGGCCTTTATTAGGTCATCATGCTGACCTAATAAAGTATGCCAGGCATATAGTGGGCACTCCAAAAACAGGATTCCGTTCCTTCAGGATTCTTTAAGCACCTAGATAATCTGTGGCACCATGCCAGTAAAATTATATACAGTCTACATAGATAGAGCTACCTCAAGATGATTTAAAAATCTGTACTGGAAGTTTTTTTCCCTCAGTGTACTAAGATTTCTCACTCGATTCTTGAAGGGTTTTACGCATAGCTAGTTGCATGTAGGCGAGAGAGGCAGTGATGTTTGTGTTCCTCCCGTGTGGGGAGGAGATGGCCCCGGTGACGTGAGATGGGTTCTCGTGTTCTTACTGTTGGAGTATGTTTGAGTTTCAGTAACCCTCCTTCCCCCCACACCCTTCCTCTTTCCCCGCTTCCAGTGTCACACATGCAAATCAATAAAAGAATTAGGATAACCTGTGGAACCAGTTTTTCCTAAATAGGGAGATGGTTCCATGGAATATTAATGTTTAGGGTGGTCTTATTTTAAAAGCTTATCCAGCTTAATGTGCTAATCAGAAACCTAGAACCCTAGTGATAAATGGAATTTTAGAATCTTTTCCATTTTTTACCAAGTTCAGAAGTGTCTAGGGGCGCCTGGGTGTCCCAGTTGGTTAAGCGACTGCCTTCTGCTCAGGTCATGATCCTGGAGTCCCGGGATCGAGTCCCACATCGGGCTCCCTGCTCAGCAGGGAGTCTGCTTCTCCCTCTGACCCTCTTCCCTCTCGCGCTCTCTATCTCTCATTCTCTCTCTCTCAAATAAATAAATAAAATCTTTAAAAAAAAAAAAGTGTCTGTGGGGTACCTCAGTTGCTGAAACAAGCGAATCTTGATCTTGGGATTGTAGGTTTGAGCCCCACATTGGGTATAGAGATTGCTTATAAATCTTTTTCTTATTTTTTAAGATTTTATTTATTTATTTTAGAGAGAGAGAACACAGGTTGGGGGAGGAGCAGAGGGAGAGCGTGGAGCCGTGCTGAGCACGGAGCCGGACACAGGCCTTGATCCCATGACCCTGACTGAGATCATGACCTGGGCCGAAATCAAGAGTCAGACACTTAACCGACTGAGCCACCCAGGCACCCCTAAAATCTTAAAAAAAAAGTGTCTTATTAGACCTTTGCTTGCCTCATGATCACTTAGTTTCTTTATTTACACTTGTAGTGATGGGGACCTCATTACCCTTCAAGGCAACCCATTCCATTCCCTGCAGCTGTGGTCATTGGAAAGCTCTCCTTCTGGTCATCTGAAGCCTGCCTGTGGTGGAACAGTGTGGAACTTACATGTTATCCACCACAAAACTACTTTAAATGAGTATTTCTTTTCATTAGACTGAAATTACCCAGGACAAGGATCACTTTTGACTGATGAACCTTCTTTCCTTCTAGTGTGTTTAACTAGGCACTCAGTGATGTCTAGAGAATAAATTCTCACTCAGTTTCTTGTGATTTGAAGATTAACTGGAAGTTGGGCTAAATATTTTTTGCCTGTATTTGAATTAGAAATGGTGTAAATGGGCCTTTGTGGAGTAGATACAGTGACGTTTAGGGGTTTTTCCCGTTGGTTAAAATGGAAGTATTCCCCAGTGGTTTTGGACCACAAATATGCTTTGATCATTCATAGCAAACGATCCAGTTAGTTAAGAAATCTGTTTTCCTTTTAATTTGTGGTCCTCATCCTTCTGAAGGAGCAGCACAAACTGTGGACTTTTTGGACTGATCATTTTAGCTGTTGTCTTCAAGAACCTGAAGGGGATAGCCTTAGGAAAAAACCCTGGGAAGCTTTAAGAAAAAAATCAGAAGGTGATGATCCTAAGGTACCCAGCAGTGTACTCAGGAAGACTTGACCCCACTGGGAGTGTACGAATTTGTGTGCAGAACTCCCTGGAGTTTTAAGATCCAGTTTGGTGTTTTTTGTTTGTTTGTTTTGTTTTGTTTTTGCAGCATTGCACAGTACACGAGCCGAACACCGCTCCAAATTATTCCTTACCAAATGGGCCAGCTTTTGACATTAAGGGCCCGAAAAGGATCCTGGTTGCTAACCCCCAGCTTGTGCCTGAGGACACTGAGGCTGGAGAGCACCAGTCCCTTTCTGAAGGAACACAGCTGCCTTCAGGCAGAGCCTGAGTCTAGAACTCAAGTTTTTTGAGTCTTAGTCTAAAAATAAAACATTAGAAGAGACAGAGACTGTTGTTGCTTACTTGGCCACGTTTTAAATGTTATAGCCAAGTGGGGGTTGGGAATTAGGCATTTTTTTTTTTTTTCCTTCCTCAAGATCATTTTTTGTTTCCTGGTGCTTCCAGCTTCCTGGGACTCATGTAACTGCTCTAAACCAGGATCCTTCAGGACTGTGTTCCTGCGGGGCTGCCCTGCATGCCTGCCTCCAGCCCTGCCGGGTGCCCCTCTCGCTCCCAGGCCCTTGGCAGCCGTTGCTCTTAGCGCCCTCCTCCTGGCCTCCTGCTCCGCCACCATTGTCCGAGGAGACCCCGTGAGATCCATCCTCACGCGGCCTCCGGGGTCACCAGCATTCAGCGGAAGTTTAGCAGATTTCCTCCCATTGCCCCCTCACTTTCCCTCCTAAAGGTGGCTCCTCACAGCTGCACCTGCTACTTTCAGTTTTTTCTGTCCTCCAGTAATAATCGACTGCGTTCAACTCAGTAGCCGGCCTAGTGGGTTTTTCCTTTCATCCTGTTCATTGATTCTCCAGCCTCCTTCTTCCCACTGCTGGTCGAGCTCTGCAGGCCCAGCCATTGTGTGTGTGTGTGTGCACACGCGTGAGCGCGCGCGTAGGCATGTGCGTGCGTGTGTGCAAGCGCGTGTGTGTAGGCGTGTGTGTGCGTGCGCCCGTACCTTTCCTGTGCCACCCCCCAGGCCTTCGTCCAGCCCTTCTGCAGTTGCAGTAATTTAAGGACTGCTCTCTCTGCATCCAGTCTTGTCTCTTGGCCAGTCCATTGTTGACACAGTTGCCAGACGGATCTTCTTCAGATGCTGCATTTTTGAAGTCAGTCTTTCCCTGTTCCCTCTCAGAAACATGGAAGTAGCTCCTTGTTCCCCTCGGAAAGTCCAAACTTCTTAGCTCCTCATTCGGAGCCCGCTGTGGCCAGGGGCCCACGTTCCTCGGTGGCTTCTCCTGCACCTCCGTCGTTCTCAGCCCGTGGAGTTTGCTTAGTGCTTCCCCGGGCAGCCTCCTTCCTCCTGGGCTCTGGAAATCTTTAGCTCCTTCATGGAGCCTTGTCTGCTGGCCATTCTTTTCAGGTCTCTGCTGACGGTCCCTGGCTCACTTGTTCATCTGACGCTTGATTCACTAAGCAAACATCACAAAAGACATGCTGTTTTTTTTTTTTTTTTAAGATTTTTATTTATTTGACAGAGAGAGACACAGAGAAAGGGAACACAAGCAGGGGGAATGGGAGAGGGAGAAGCAGGTTTCCCGCCGAGCAGGGAGCCTGATGCGGGGCTCGATCCCAGGACCCTGAGATCATGACCTGAGCTTGAAGGCAGATGCTTAACAACTGAGCCACCCAGGCGCCCCAAAAGACATGCTGTTTTGCTGCTGTGAGGAATGGATCATAGAGGGGTGAGAGGGTCAGGGCTCTATGGCCAGGAAGCTCACCTGTGGCATCTGGATTCTGTATCTTTCTGTGTTGGTGTCTACCGGATTGAAGTGTAAAGGCAGAGGCTGGGCCTTCCATATTAAAATTTAAAAATAAAAATGTCACCAGCGCACGTCCATGCAGCGAGCGTTCTGCACGGGCGCGTTAATCAAGTCCGCGATAGCTGCTATACTCTGCTGCCGTTAAGACTTCTTGGAATTTTGGGGCGCCTGGGGTGGCTCAGGTGGTTAAGCGTCTGCCTTCAGCTCAGGTCACGATCCCAGGGTCCTGGGATCGAGCCCCGCATCGGGCTCCCTGCTCCGCAGGGAGCCTGCTTCTCCCTCTCCCTCTACTGCTCCCCCTGCTTGTGCTCTCTCGCTGTCTGTCAAATAAATAAATAAAGTCTTAAAAAAAAAAAACTTCTTGGAATTTCTTATTTAATGTAACTCTTATGGCATTTTTTTTTTTATTAAATTCTGTATATTCCCATCTTAGCCTAGCATCAGTGGTAACATTAAAATTAAGGTAGAAATCTATGAACATAAAGTCATCAGTGAAGTTACAAGACTTAATTAGATAAGGGTATTTAAGATAGTGATTTCTCATCAGACTGGCGTTGCCTATAATATTAACTTCCCTGCTTTTTTTTTTTTTCCTTCAGTCTGCATGAAGAAATCAGTGATTTTTATGAATACATGTCTCCAAGACCGGAGGAGGAGAAGATGCGGATGGAGGTGGTGAACAGGATCGAGAGTGTGATTAAGGAGCTCTGGCCCAGCGCGGATGTGAGTACCTGTCTGGGTAGCTGGGTGCTGAAGGCGCTGTCCCTGTGCACAGGCTGGAGAGAGTCTCAGTCCTCACACTCAAGTCTATGTGCGTCTCAACACTTATGGTCCAATTAAATTTTAAAGGCAAATGGTTTCCTCTAGCCTTTAGAATTCGGGGCATCCTAATTTTTGCAGTGAATCAGTTGACTTAGTTAAAACTCTTTCTTTGCAGTGCTGAATAGCAATACTAAAGGTAAACTGCATTTAGGAATCATTAGTATACAGAGAAGAAAGATCAGGCCTTCTTGTGGTAGTGTGTTACTGGATCTGATGTAGGAAAATCCCATTACTGTTTTGTTCCAACCTGCTGGTACAAATGTTATATAATTGTTTATAGCCAAATGAAAATGTCAAGTAGAAGTTTCTTTTTTTTCTCTTTAAATTTTTTATTGTTATGTTAATCACCATACATTATATCATTAGTTTGTGATGTAGTGTTCCATGATTCATTGTTTGTGTGTAACACCCAGTGCTCCACGCAGAACGTGCCCTCTTTAATACCCATCACCAGGCTAACCCATTCCCCCACCCTCCTCCCCTCTAGAACCCTCAGTTTGTTTTTCAGAGTCCATCGTCTCTTATGGTTCATCTCCCCCTCCGATTTCCCCCACTTCATTCTTTCCCTCCTGCTATCTTCTTCTTTTTTTTTCTTCTTAACATATATTGCATTATTTGTTTCAGAAGTACAGATCTGTGATTCAACAGTCTTGCACAATTCACAGCGCTCACCATAGCACACATCCTCCCCAATGTCTATCACCCAGCCACCCCATCCCTCCCACCCCACCCCTACTCCAGCAAACCTCAGTTTGTTTCCTGAGATTAAGAATTCCTCATATCAGTGAGGTCATATGATACATGTCTTTCTCTGATTGACTTATTTCACTCAGCATAACACTCTCCAGTTCCATCCACGTCGTTGCAAATGGCAAGATCTCATTCCTTTTGATGGCTGTATAATATTCCATCGCATATATATACCACCTCTTCTTTATCCATTCATCTGTCGATGGACATCTTGGCTCTTTCCACAGTTTGGCTATTGTGGACATTGCTGCTATAAACATTGGGGTGCACATACCCCTTCGGATCCCTACATTTGTATCTTTGGGATAAATACCCAGTAGTGCAATTGCTGGGTCGTATGGTAGCTCTCAAGTAGAAGTTTCTTATGTCATTAGAAGTTCATTTTCTTAGGTGAATGCAGGCATAAGTCTGTTTTCCTCTCTTGATACTGCTGTTTCCTTCTTTCTGGCCCTTCCTTATCTCCCTCTGCAGACCCACCCAGTGAACAGAACTTTGGCCCAAGATTTCCTCTTTGCTTATTTGTGATTCTTGTTGTTGAAACTAAGTGAATACTTTTTTAGGGCCTTTTTTTTTTTTTTTGAGGGTCTGTTATACAATTTTGTGCATTCAAAGAAGTTAGAATCCATTACTCTGTGTTACATGGCTTTTCTTTAGACTTTGTCATGGGATGGTGATGGGGGTGCTAGGGAAGTTTCTTTTGTCCAGTTTGCAAAACAGAAAATCTTTGAATAAAATACTGTAGGTGAAGGGAAGGGGTTGATGGTGGAGGGGGGGGTCAGTTTTATTTTATTGAGCAGCTACTGTGTGGTCACATGGATTCTCCCATGCGCTCCAAGTCTGTGTCTCTCAGCGGCGGGTGAGTTTGCCACCTAGGGGTCCCTTGGCAATGTTGGAGACATTTTTGATTATCATTGACTGGTAAGGTGCTCTGGGCATATAGTGGATAGAGGCCAAGGATGTTCCTAAACATCGTACAATGCACAGGACAGCCCCTACAGACAGCTGTCTGCCCTGAGCGTCAGCTGTGCTGAGGTTGAGAAACCGTGATTTAAATTAATTCTCCTCCTCTGGAGGTGGGGGGTTTTATCCATCTTTTTGTTCCCAGAGGAGAGACACGTACCTGTGATTCCATTCCCGGGTCCATCTCACCTCCGGGGCCGAGTGTTCACCCTTTATTGCAATTCCTCGCCCACCCTGAGCCTTCCGCTGTGCTCCCTGGCTGAGATAGGATGTGTCTGGTTTTACGCCTCAGCAAGGCGTTAGGATAACACTGCCTGCTGTTCTCCGTGGAGCTGGCCTGCCACTGACCCTAACTCATGGGCCCTCGAGAAGATTCTCGCCTAGGGAACCCAAATTTTGCCTTTGTTGAACATGTCTCTGCCTTATAAGGGAACACGAGTGACTTGAATATTACTTTTGAAAGTTTTCTATTTCAACCTGTGCATTTGATATTTTAACCTTATAAGTTTAAAGTATTTTCCTAATGTCTGCGTATGAGAGGTAGCATCCCTGCTTCCGGAAAGCATGGTGTTATAAAAAAAAATGCTCTTAGGGCACCTGGGTGGCTCAGTCATTGAGCGTCTGCCTTTGGCTCAGGTCATAATCCCAGGGTCCTGGGATCGAGCCCCGCATCGGGCTTCCTGCTCCGCGGGAAGCCTGCTTCTCCCTCTCCCACTCCCCTTGCTTGTGTTCCCTCTCTCGCTGTGTTTCTGTCAAGTAAATAAATAAAATCTTAAAAAAAAAAAAAAATGCTCTTGTAGTACTAAAAAACACCAACAGAGGGTAGCAAAACCCCAACATTTCTCCATAGCATGGTGGCTTTTCATTGGATACCTTAATGTTAATAATTTTTTCTATTTCAGGTCCAGATATTTGGAAGTTTTAAAACTGGCCTCTATTTACCTACTAGGTTAGTACATTTATGAAGCTTTCAGGGGATTGTGCATTTTTCTGGATTTTGGCTATTGATGGTGGTAGAGTAGAAACAAAAGAGATTTATGAAATGAAAATTCACTTTATCTGTATTTTATTTGAACTACCTTGAGGGTAGGATATGACTTGAGATGATCCTCTCAAACTGACACCTCTGTCACCTGGGATAGATGTGAAAGGGGACTCCGTTAACAATTTCGGCAGTTGACCACCTGCCTGCAGAGAACTGTTCGCCTCCATAACTGAACCCACTAACTCAGCCATCGATGTCGTATTATACGATGCAGCCTTTTACGCTCCGGAATGACAGCCCTGTCGTTTCTCATTAAGAACTCAGACTATTAGCAGTTGTTCCAGCATCCGGACCCGGAGCTTTGGGCTTCCAGACTCTTCTCTGAGGAAGGCCCCTTATTAATTTCAGTCTCCTTAAATGAGGCCAGTCGTGGCCCATGGCCTGGGGCAGGGTGGGGCCTTTTTGGGGATGATGAGCCTTCCCCAAGGGGTGAAAACCTGTTTTCTATAAACTGAAATTCCACCATGTGTTTGCTTTTGCTTTTATTGTGGTAAGAATACTTCATGTGAGATTTACCCTCCTAACACAGTTTTGGGTGCACAGTACAGTATGATTTTAACTGTAGGCATCCATCATGTTTTTGGATTTGAGCTTGATTTGATCTACTTTACCCAAACTTAAAATGTGTTGATGTGGAGAGATCCTAGCAATTTCTGTTCTGCCCGTTGCTATCGTAGGCCCATAAAAGCCATAAAATATCCAACTTGGCGTTCATGAATATTTTTCCTTATTTAGATCCTGAGTTTTAGCAAAACCCTGAGTCACTGTGAAAATTTTAATTGAATTTTCTGAATATGTAGTACATTCCCATAGTTCAGATTGAAAAGGCACACAATAATTACAGTGAAAAGCTTGGATCCCACCTGTTCCCCTGCTCCTGGAGGAGCCCCTGGTACTGGTTTCTCACACATCCTCCCTGGAACATTCTATACATATAAAAGGAAATGGGTGTGTGTCTTCTTCCTTTTTCATCCAAATGGTGGCATCCTACATACACTGTTTGCAACTTACTTTTTACACTTAATTATCTAAATCAGAGTTAATCAGTTATTCTCATCCACATGGGCATGTCTTAAGTTTTTTAGTCCCAGAAACCTTCACAAACAGGAAGTGTTCACTGGTGTTCTCTGAGGCTTTACTTCTTTCAAAATCACCCTGTTTCCTGAGGCCTGACTTCTGCGAAATGACTAGGAGGAGATGGTTGTTACAGTCACCAACCTCCCCTTCCCCTCTAAAAAGCAGCCTCCACCAACACATTTGGTCTTCATTGGGCAGTGTGAGAAATAGGTTTTCACTGCACTAATTTGAAGTCTGGAAGCCTGAACCTAAGTGAAAACAAGTACAGTTTCTTCTTCAAACAACTTTTGTGTGTGTGTTCTGTGTTCTGTGTTCAGTGACATTGATCTTGTGGTATTTGGGAAGTGGGAGAACCTTCCCCTCTGGACCCTGGAAGAAGCCCTTCGGAAACATAAAGTTGCTGATGAGGATTCGGTGAAAGTTCTAGACAAAGCAACTGTAAGTTCTTCTGACATTTCATCGAAAAATCTCTAGTTACTAATGCATGAAACTTAAAAAATTAAAATTTAATTTTGGTGAGCATAGTTGGCTTCTCAGTAAATGATTCTTTCCTTTCATTAACGATCACAGTCCTTGTATATAAATTTTGTTTGTGAAACAAATGAACTTGTGGTTATATATTTCTTTAAAAAAAATACTCGATCTTATATATAATACCCACTGTAGAGTTTTTAAATATAAAAAAGTATAAATAAAAATATGGCGATCTATTAAACAGCTTATAGTTACACAGAAGATGTTGTTCTTCTCTCTTACTGTTTGTCCTTGAAAAATTATATATACAGTTGACTCTTGAACAGCATGGGGTCCCCTACACGGTTGAAAATCCACGTGTGGGGCTCCTGGGTGGCTCAGTTGGTTAAGCGACTGCCTTCGGCTCAGGTCATGATCCTGGAGTCCCGGGATCGAGTCCCGCATCGGGCTCCCTGCTCAGCGAGGAGCCTGCTTCTCCCTCTGACCCTCCCCCCTCTCATGTGCTCTCTTTCTCTCTCATTCTTGCTCTCTCAAATAAATAAATCTTAAAAAAAAAAAAATCCACATGTGACTTTGGATGCCCCCAAAACTACTAAGAGCCGTCTGCTGACTGGGAGGATTACTGATAACATAAACAGTTGGTTAGCACATATTTTGTGTGTTATATGTATTATATACTATGTTCTTAGAATAAAACAAGCTAGAGGGAGGAAAATGTTAGGAAAATCGTAAGGACAGTACATTTACAGTATTGTGTAAAATTGTGTAAAAGTTAAGCGCACAGTTGAAACTTGTGTTGTTCAAGGGGCAACTGTGATTGAAATTTTGTTGATCAAGTAACTTGATACTTTATCTAGAAAGGCCATTAAAGAACGTTCATGGATGCTCATTATAGAAATAAGTTGAATCTATTTTAGAAGTTTGGAGTTTTGTATGTTAGCTTTCCTTAGAACAAAAACAACTTACACTATTTCTTATAAAAAGCTATTAATTTGGAAACCCAATTCTGCAGATAGAGTTTGCTGGCCTGAGTTTTCTAATACATGGCGCAAATAGAGCCTTTAAAAAAAAAATTATTTAATCTCTGTACCCAACGTGGGGCTCAAAGTCACGACCCTGAGATCAAGAATCACATACTCTCTTGACTGAGCCAGCCAGGTGCCCCAGAGCCTTTTTTTTTTAATATAATTTTTTATTTAAGTTCAATTTAGTTAACATATACTTTATTATTAGTTTCAAGGGTAGAGTTCAGTGATTCATCAGTTGCATATAGCACCCAGTGCTCATTACATCAAGTGCCCTCCTTAATGCCCATCACCCAATTACCCCATTCCCCCACCCCCCTCCCCTCCATCAGCCCTCAGTTTATTTCCTCAAGAGTCTCTTATGGTTTGCCTTTTTTTTTTTTTAAGAATTTCTAATATCTCATATAAATCATTCAATCATTTTTTAAATTTGAGAATAATTCTCATGTCTTAACTTCTCTTGGTAGGTTGTTTTATGGGCTCTTTGCAAAATTGACCAATAATACCAGTGGATTATTGTGTTTCACCTAATCTAGCAGCTTTCTATTTAGGAACAATTTGCTGATAGGCCTGACATTCATAATTCTTGATGTTATACTGAGCTGGAAACTGTTATTCAAAGTACAAAATATTGAGAAAGGTTTTTGTTACGTGATTTCAAAATTCTCAGCCAATAGAAATGATGCAATATAGTGTATGAGGTTAAATGCTAAATATGTAAAGTATCTAACAGGCCGAGGGAAGTGTGGTGTGTAGTATTCAGGACATTCAGGAGTTCTTCCGTCCTCATGAGGAGGTGGAGACCTCAAGTCTAGTAACTTTTCCATCCCCTGATTATGTTGTTTAAGTGTTTTAATTTTGCCTTTTGCTTTTCTTCTCTTTCTAGGTACCTATTATTAAATTAACAGATTCTTTTACTGAAGTGAAAGTTGATATCAGCTTTAATGTACAGAACGGTGTGAGAGCAGCCGACCTCATCAAAGATTTTACCAAGGTCAGAGAATTCATAGTGTGGATTCAGTGAGACTCGGAGAAATGGACTTTTGTTTGGAGGTTCTGATACGCTTTGCGAAACTGTTTTTATGTGTGTATTGCTGACAAGTACTTCTTTCCTGTGCAGTGGCCCTACTTTTCCTGGACTCTGCTTGTAATAATCAGTAATTTATAATGGGACCTCAAGTCAAGGGTTTGGAAAGCTTTTGAAGAACTTCTCTGCTCTCGATCCTTCCTTTTAGGGGAGATAAGGACTGAGATGCTGAATAATCATTCTTGTCTGCTTTTAATCTCTTAAGAGTGTAGATGAAGAACCGAGCCCCCCAAGTCACTTGTAAGGTAGTTCCTGCAGGTTTCCGTACTTTGTCTTGAGGTGATTTAATGTCTGTTTTCATTTGTTCGATGTTCTTCCAAGACAGGGAAGAATTTGTCAACATCTTCAGAACATTCACATGCTTATACATGTCATCCTTTTTCTCCTTAAGCTAAAAACTGTTAACTGCTTTGGTTCACCTAGAATATCTTTTCTATCCATTCAGAATACTTTTTTTAATCAACTACAGATTCACCTTTTTCGTTTCTTTGTGAGAAAAAAAAATTTACCTTATCATGTTGTAAACATTATATTCCTGTATAAATGTGCAGAGTACAGGAAAGCAGAGAAAGAAAAATCCCACTCTTTTGGAGGTGTTTGGTGTGTGGAAATTTTCTTTTTCCCAGAAAAGAAACCTTTTCTTAAAATTAAGAATAATATGCGTGATAGAAAATTTACCAATATCAGAGGAGAATGAAAAATGAGTCATTTTATACCTTATGCTTAAATCAACTTCATGGGATGTACCATCATCAGGCTTTCTTTTTGGCTTGTTTATCCTCTTGAAATTTTTGTTTTTCCAAGAAATTTTTAAATTTTATGCGAACTCTATTATCTTTTCCTCCCACCCTCCCCCCAGCAACCCTGTTTGTTTCCTATGATTATCCTCTTGAAATTTTTAACAAAAGGAATAATATGCTATATACACATCGTCTCATATTTTTTTGGAGTTTTTCATATCAGCACAGGCAGGTTTCCTTCATTCTTTTCATTGACAACACAGTGGTCCTTTGTCAGGCTACCTCATGCTTTGTGTCGTACTCCCCTGGTGATGTTTCCAGGGTTTTTTGCTTTCACAGAAAGTGCTTGAACATCCTTCCATACCTGCATCTTTCTTTACACTTACAAAATTGTCTGTAGGAAGATTCTGGAAGTGGAGTTTCGGGGTCAAAGGGTATATACAGATCAAATTCTGTTGGAAATTTGCCTGATTGTGCTTTCAAGAGACCATCTATTTATGTCTTTGACCATATGTTTAAGAATGATTATTTCTCCAAAGATTTTTTGTTATTTCTCATGCTTGCTTTCTTTGACATGATTTGCAAAAGCATAGACTTTGTTGTTTCTTTTGGAAGCAGTATGTGTTCATTCTAAGTGTCAAGAACAAACTAGAAATCACTAGTAATTCTCTCACTCCTAGATAGTGGCCATTAAGACTTCTTTCTAGATGTTTGGGTCTGCTGTGTTCCCCTCAACGTCCTTAGCCCAGCGCCTGGCTTGTGGAGAGCACTTAGGGAGTCCGTGCTTGAGTAAAAGACGGACTCGCTGTCCGTGTTTGCCAGCTGAGGGGTTCTCAGCCATCTCTGTAAAGCATGCAGGGTGGGTCTGTGTGTGGTCGCCTGCCCACACGGAAGACAGCGGGCGGGACTGCCCCTGCCCCCGCTCTGGCGCTGGGCACAGGCATCTGAAAGACCCTGGTCTGTCTGCTGGAGTGTCCCCTGAGAAAAGCGATTCCTTCAAACCCACTGACTTAGTGCATTAAGCGTTGAGAATTGGTCCTGTACTGTTTCTGTTACCTGTTTACAAGTCCGTAGCATATGGTAATAAGTAAATTAATATGGTGAAAAATAAATAAATATTCAATATGGTAATAAACATGGTAATAAATAAATGAGTGTCATCAAATACATATTGCTAGTATTTCTGTCCCATGGTGAGTACTTGGGTGCCATTATTTACATCTACCTGTTTTAGATTTTTAGATGTGAGAAGAAAATCCTTAATTACTTACAGCTTACTTTTTCTAGCTTGCTCTTAAAATAGAAAATTAAGTGTATTGGATATCTCCACTAAAGTTTGTAATGTAAGGACCAGTTTATGCTCCTGATAATGCTTAGCACAATTACTGAAATAGGAGTTCACTGAAAATATAATTCTCTTTTTCAGAAATATCCTGTATTACCATACTTGGTTTTAGTATTGAAACAATTCTTATTACAGAGGGACCTTAATGAAGTATTTACAGGTGGAATTGGTTCATACAGTCTCTTTTTAATGGCAGTCAGTTTCCTTCAGGTAAGTTGTTTGATTATACAATGCCTAGTGTACACCAAAATAAAATAAATCAATTCAGAATCATTTTGGGAAAAAATTTAGATCAAGTTCTAATTGGAATGCTTCCCTTAATTACTTATGACTCCTTTAAACTGGGTACCTTTTTTATAATTTCACAAATAAGTATTTTTAAAGCCCAGGGGAGAACTTTTTTTCTTTTTAATCCCATATGTTCTTGTAGTTTTGAGAATTTTCACTCAGATTTTAACATGCATAGGTATGGCGTGGTTTTCATAAGTGTAAATAGTAGTGTAAATGCCAAAAACAAGGATATCTTCTAAGCCTCTAGGAAGTTCAGCTGGAATTGAGATCTGCTATCTGGGTAGAATGAGTTTGAAGTCTTGATATTGTCTGAATGTATTTGTGAGGCATGGTGTCGCTCGTGAGGCAGAATGGCTTCACTGATGTGTTGGGCCACGTCAGCCCGTCAGCATCCTGGTGCAGCTGTAAAATTCAGCCTTGAATTTTATAAACAGATTGTCACCCACTAGTTGGGCACCCTTGGGCTTTCGTGTTGTCTATAACGGCAACACAGCTTCCGTGCCTCAGTTTTCCTGTTGGCTGCTATCCTAACCAAAATTCAAATAGTACTGTCTTGTCAAAGTTAGGATGGCACTTATTTTCCCCACCTTGATAATTTAGAGAAAAGCCAATATAATTTCTTTTTTTCTTTTTCTTCCTGATTTTAGTTACATCCCAGGGAAGATGCTTGCATCCCCAATACAAACTATGGTGTTCTCTTAATAGAATTTTTTGAATTATATGGACGACACTTCAATTATTTAAAGACTGGCATCCGGATAAAGGATGGTGGTTCATATGTGGCCAAAGATGAAGTACAGAAAAATATGCTCGATGGCTATAGGCCATCAATGCTTTATATTGAAGATCCTTTACAACCAGGTATTGAAATTAGGTAAATTTGTGGGCATTCAAAGAAAGGACATTGTCAATATTGTACTTTAAACTCCCTTTAGAGGAGGGGCACCTGGCTGGCTCAGTCATTGGAGCATGTGACTCTTGATCTTGGGCTTGTGAGTTCGAGCCCCACGTTGGGTATAGAGATTACTTAAATAAATAAATCTTTAAAATAAAATCTCTCTTTAGATGAAAAATGAAATATTAACTTCTGATTGTATTCATTCTTTTTCATAAAAATATTTTGTAAGAAAACATACGAAAACACACACATGCGTGTGTGCATATACACCAGAAAAGCACGCCGCATACTCCCAGTGTGTTGGGAGTAGAATCCATTTGACCCTGAGAGGCCAAGGAGTATAGGTACTAGCCATTGGGGGCATTTGTGCACAATGTGAAGGCCATTTTTCTGCTTTGTTGTGTCCTCATTGCCCCCGATTCCAGCCTGTTGTCAGTCAGGGCTTTAGGTGAGGTTTCTGAAGTCCTCAGAGGCAGTGAGCATAGTATACCTCAGAAACAATGAGCGAAAGGGCTCAAAGAGACCGTCTGTTTTCCTTTTGGGCCCCTTCTTTCCTCTTTTAATTTTGCATGGTCTCCCTGTGCCTTCTCCAGCTTCACGTTGGCTTGAAAGGGACCAGCAGACCCTTTTCTTGCTTACGTGGGGTTATGTTTGTTTGCTTGTATCCTAGTTTTTCTGGGCAATATTTTTTTCTTGCTATAATTGTGAAGTATTTAGATTCTACATTATCAGACTTCAGTGGAGATGCTTTTAGTCATTTGCTTAACTGTGTTAACTTTGAAAATGGATAAGAAAAGGGAGGTCAGAGGGAGAGTAGTTGCCTAGGGGCTCTTTTCTGGCTGATTGTGCCATATTATAAACATAGTTCTGCGTGTTTATTCATTGAGGAAATGTTTATCGGGAGGCTAGTCGATGCAAAGCACACAAAGATTTTCAGCAAGTGGGCCTTGTTCTTCGGGAGCTCATCGTTTCCTACCAGAGATACTTAGATAGCTAATAGAAACAGAAAATAGGGATGTCTCATTTAGCTTAGTTTCACTCTTAGGAGAGAGCAGGCAGTTAACTCCTTTTGTTTGCATGACTGTATTATGGGATAGTCCCTGTTGGGCCGGAATGCACTTAGGCAATTTATATGCCATAACGTACTTACTGCATGATACACAGGCTCAGAGCCTGGGGAGTTGTGGGTACGACCGCCTGCCCAGATTCTTTGTGCAACTGTAGCAGGAAAGCAATTGCCCTTGCTTTTCTGGAAGAGGGGCCATGAGCATTTAGTTCTTACTAAGCAATGGTCATGCTTACTATCTTCTATATACATTTCTTTTAAAGGTAACGACGTTGGAAGGAGTTCATATGGGGCCATGCAAGTGAAACAGGCCTTTGATTATGCCTATGTTGTTTTGAGTCACGCTGTATCACCAATAGCCAAGTATTATCCCAACAATGAAACGGAGAGGTAAAGGCTTAACTAAAGTCAGCCCATTGGGTCAGAATTGGTTGTGGCTTCTTATCTCCAAATTAATGAACCCCCCCCCTTTTTTCTTTAAACACGTGCAGCATATTAGGTAGAATAATTAGAGTAACGGACGAAGTTGCCACGTACAGAGATTGGATATCAAAGCAATGGGGCTTGCAGAATAGGCCGGAGCCTTCATGCAATGGTAAGAGTTTTTCACTGATTGATTGACTGAGCATTAGTGGCTTTTCTGTGTTGTGTGTGTTTAATGGGAAGAAACGTTTTCCAATCTTTTGCCACTCTTTCAGGAAATGGTGTTACCTTGATAGTAGATACTCAGCAGTTAGATAAATGTAATAATAATCTATCTGAAGAAAATGAAGCCCTTGGAAAATGTAGAAGTAAAACTTCGGAATCTCTTAGTAAACACTCTTCAAACTCTTCATCAGGTCCAGTGTCTTCCTCTTCTGCCACACAGTCCAGCTCTAGTGATGTCGTAAGTATGAGGACATGGCTTTTCTGCACCTAGAGACCTACGAGTTCTGTTGGGGGGGTGGTAACTCTGTCTAGACGGCTAAGCCTAACTCCTTTTCTTATTTGTTACTGGAAAATTTTAATAAGTTCACTGATTGTACACGTCCCCAACACTGGATTAAAATTTTCAAGCGTACAGCAAAAGTGAAAGAATTTTAGTGAGCGTCCATATATATTACCATTAGATTCTACCATTAACATGTCACTTGCTTATCCCATAGCTAGCCATTCATTCATCCCTCTGTCTACTAATTCATCTTATTCTTCGATACATTTCAAAGTAAGTTACAGGCCCTTCCCCCAAGTACAGCAGTGCGCTCCTCACCAGCCAGAGTTCAGCATTCGGTTAGTTTTTTCCTTTGATATAAAGTGGATTGTACCTCACTAAATCTTAACAACTGTATACACATGTGTAACTCCACCTATAACAAGATACAGACTATTACCATCAGCCCAGAGAAGTCCTTCATGATGCTTTCCCGTCAGTCTTGAATTCCACCCCGGAGGTAACCGCTGTTAGGATTTTCTGATTCCACAGGTTAGTTTTGCCTGTTCCAGAATTTCACATAAGTGGAATGATGAGAGTGTATACTCTTTTGCGTAAGGCTCCTTCCACTCAATAATGTTTCTGAGCTTCTTGATTGAAGTTTCAACAATTGAGATATAATTCACATAAAATGTGCAGTTTAGTGGTTTTCAGTGTGTTCATGCTGCCGTGCAGCCAGCAGCACTAAGTCTGGGACGTGACCGTCACTCTGGAAAGACACCGGTTAGCAGCCCCTCACAATTCCTCCTTCCCCGAGGCCCCTGGCAGCCCTGCCTCTACTGTGTGACGCTAGCCCTGATTGAATTCTTAGGAGCACTTACACCTACAGTTACTTTTCCTCATCAGGTTGAGTTTACTTAATTGAAATATAAAATGGGCTTACCAATTATTTGAGTTTTGACTTTATTAAGCGTATGAAGGAAAGAGTAATCTAAATACGGAAGGGACGTAATTTTATGTTGTTGTTGCTGACCATGTATCATAATGGAGTCACGAAGCCTCCTATGGCACGATCTACCATGTGGAGGACGCAGCCGAGCTGCATGTCACAGACACAGTGGGGTGGGAACAGAGCCGGCCTCAGGAGGGAGCCTTAGGGACGAGGAGTGTGGGCCTCTGAGCCGCTGGGTAGAGTGTGCAGGTGAAGGGTAGCTCTGAGGGGAGAAGTGGCCCAGCCCTGGCCCAGGCAGCCTAGAAACAGCTGGGGTGCAGCCCACTGTCTCCAGGAAGCCCTTCACCACGTGGGGTGTTTGGTTGGAGGCCTCACTGATTGTTCATCGCAGACTTGCAGAAATTGAGCCTTTTGAATCAATCATTTTGGTTTTGGTTGAGTCAGGGACCTAGGGCCTTGTCTTGGCCACGTTCTTTCCACGATACCAGGGTTCATTTCCTGTAAATAGACGTGCAGATAAACTTGGACCTCTGTGAGCCCCTTCAAGGCCGATTAACAAGGTCAGGCGTGGGCAGTGGATTTAGCAACAAACAGAGACCCTCTGATAAAATAAGCCACTTTGAATGTTTGGAGGGAAATTTATGAAAGAAGGAAAGCTTAAGCAGTTAATTTTATAAATTCCTTGGGGTGCTTCCTTCGACTCCCAGATGTTTAAATTTAGTCCAGAGAGTACTTAGCTGAAGTTGTTTAGCCTCCTTAATACTGAATTTCTAAATTATTAATATGCCACATTATAACTCGTATGACTTGTGTTAGGATTCCGACGCGACACCATGCAAAACCCCGAAACAGCTGCTCTGCCGTCCATCCGCCGGGAACCGAGTAGGGTCGCAAGATGTGTCCTTAGAGTCCTCTCAGGCAGTTGGGAAAATGCAGAGCACCCAAACCACTAACACCTCCAACAGCACCAACAAATCTCAGGTGTGTGGAATGTGTGTTTTTGATGGTTAGTATTCGATACAACATACTTGGAATTTCTTACACGCGAATATATACACGTGTATGTATGTGTATCTATCCATCCATCCATCCATCCATCCATCCATCGTGGATTTGAAGAAAACTCTAGGTTTAAAGAACAAACCTGTTTTTTTCTAAGAGGTTCCAAAGTGCAGTGCTTCTAATAATAGGATGTCCTGAAGATCGTTATGAGACACCATTGTAATGTAAACCTTTGTGGGAATTTAAGACTGGTTCTTATAAGATGTCCCAGCCAACCCACCTTATTACAGATGGAGCATTAAAAAAATTGCAGAGTTATAAAAAGATTGACTTGTACTTGAAGTAAGCTCACATGAAGCTTGTATATGACCTCACAGCAATGTTGTGCATATCTGGGAGTAACATATCCTTTTTTTATATTTTAATATTCAGTACCTAGTTGTTTGTGTTGAAATGATTGGGCAGTGGTCAACCATGGTCAGTCAATTCCTATCAGCTTTGACTTAAAAAGGCCACAGAAAATACTCTATTTTCAGTTTTGTAGTTACCTGAAATTTTATTAATCATGAATGAATCAACATGAGGAAAGGAGCCATTTCATACTGGGCTCTCACCCTCAGTACCCTGGGGACCCTGGGGAAGGCCTCTTGGCAGTAGAGATGAACTCTTAATGTTGGTCACCTCATGTCTGACCTGACTCCTAGAATCCAGTTTACAGCTTCATCATGTGCACCACACCCAGATCCATTTACAAGTGGCAGTTAAAGTGACCGAGAGCAGGGAAGGGGCTGCCAGTCATGATGACCCCTGACCTGGCAGTGTACCTGTGTGTCTAAGCGCTTCTTCCAGTAATGCCATTTATTATGTAGTACATTGGTGGATAGGTTCCTTGAGAAGTTTCATGTTCCATGCACTCTGTTAAGAAGTCAAGGCAGTATTCCAATATTTCCATTAAAAAAGAATGGAAGAGTGTTAGAGCTCAAGAGAGCGAAACCCCTGTAGCATCGTTTTCTGCTTGCTACATAAGTCAGTGTATTCCTCGTTTTAAAAGCGCCCCAAGTCAGGTCTTAGCGAGTGCTCTGTTGAATCCACAGGACTGATGTCTCTTTGACCACTTTCTTTCTCTGCAGCATGGATCAGCAAGGCTCTTTCGTTCTTCCAGCAAAGGCTTCCAAGGTACAACTCAAACAAGCCATGGTTCCTTGATGACAAACAAACAGCATCAAGGCAAATCAAATAATCAGTATTACCATGGCAAAAAGAGGAAACACAAGAGGGATGCCCCCCTCTCAGACCTTTGTAGATAGTCGGCGTTGTACGATGGACTGTCTTCTGTGTGCAATGATCTCATGCTCAGGACAGTTGGATAGGGACTCCTGGCATTCGGGAGCCTTACACTGTTCAGACTCTGATTTAGCAACTGCGTTTTTTCCCAGCTCGCCACGGAATGGATCATGAAGACTGACAACTGCAAAAACAAAAAGCAAGCAAAAAAGGGGGAAAAAAAAAAAAGGCTGCTCATTTGATAAGTCATATGCTACAACAGGGTCATTTTAAGATTTAAAGCTTGAATGTAAAATAAATCTATTTCTCATTGGCTTTATGCAGAGTTATAGGGAATAGTATTCAGTGTGGGTAGGGTGATAGAAACAAAAACCGATTTCAGAGGATGGGGTGGGGGAAGAGAACAAAAGTATCTCATAGGAAGTCCAGATTCCAAAGGGGAAAGTGATCTGTGCATGTTTTCTTTTTTTTTTTTTAATATTTTTGCATATATTTACCATTTTATTGTGTGTATATATAGATGACCATATAGGAAATTGATATTTGTAATAGTGGATTTGTTAATACTTTTTACATAACATTACTGTTTAAATTGTAAACAGATTTTTCTCAGGATTAGTTTGAAAAATAATCTGACTTGTCATCTTAACATCCATATATAGGGAAGTGATTAGTTCTATTACTCGATTTGTTTTCCTCAGCATTGAAATGACTTACTAGAACCCTTGTGACCTGCTGCAAAAATTTTTCCTCTCTAAAGAAAAGGTTTATGGTGGCAAATGACGTTTTATTTTGTAAAAAAAAAAAAAAAAAAAAAAAAAATGTACTATGTACTTTTGTGTAAACACTGAAAAAAATCTCTAGTCATCTCTAAGAATTACCTTGCAACTGTTTTCTATAGTGCTGTCGTCTTGGGCAATGGGCAATTACATGACTTTGTGTTTGTTTCCTTTGCAGTCTTTTTTTGTTTTGTTTTTCTTCCTAATAGGACAAAAAAGGCCACCCGCGTCCAGTCCCGTTGCTGTTGCAGTGACTCCCCGAGTTCCACAGACTTTGCATGCTGGCCCTTCTACCCCTGCGTACGGCGCGTGCTTGTTTTTCTCATCTCTTATTCTTTTTTAAATCCATGCTTAACTACTGTGGGAGAGAATAACTGTAAACAGCTTTAATTAAATCATACTTATAAAAAACTATTTTCTTATACTCCACTTTATGCTTTTGGTATTGTTGATCTTTAAAAATTAAATGGTCTTTGATAATGGATCTATTTTGTATTGCCTTATTAAGACCAAATACTTCTTGTCATCCTGTTCTTTATCCCCTCCTTCCATGGAATTGTTATCTCTAATTAAAACTTTTTAAAACATTGGCTTGTTTCAATCCTACTGTAAATTTTGGTTGTGGTCAGCTTTGAGCACCAATGAGATGTATAATTCTGTTATCCATCACATGTTGAGTTTCAAACTCGGGAATATTGAGTATAATAGGATGTAAGTGACATTTCTGAAAATGCTTTCTTTCAGTGTGAAAGCTCTTATGTTTAGCATCAGTGTGTGTGGCTCTGTTAATTATAGCCATTTCTGAAATGAGATTCTTTTATGTATATATACATACATACATATGTGTGTGTATATATACATACATATATATATATATATACATAAAAAGTACTATTGGCTCTTAGGAATTTCTTTTATATACATTTATGAAATACTGAAGACCAATCAGACCATTAATGGACACTTAGTGCAACTTTTTATAAAGAAAATAATGCTAAAGTAAGACCAAAACTGGTGTCATCACTGAAATTAACAGTTTTCAATATGTTCGTATTTTAATTCACAACAGAAAAATGTGTTCCACAACTGGAAACTCCTAATACTTGTGTAAACTGTGGAAAATTTTAAATGTGATGTTATTTTGACAATGTTTTAAATTTTCGAGTCCCATTTTATTCTGATCAGAATTTTTATCAAGATGTTGAGCTTTTGTTCTTTGAACCTAGTTTGTCATAACATATTGTGCATAATCACAGTATTTATTTCTAGGACTCTTGCGAACGTGTAGACTGTTGTTTACCGCTAAGGGAACAATTATTTATAAAATAATATTAAATCCAGTATTAGCTGCCTATTTCAGACACTTAATACTTGCAGAGATCCATTGTTACATTTACCACACTGAAGTTTTTTTCTTTTGTTGTTTTGTGTTAAGAATCACCCTCATTGTTGAAAGTAAATGTACTCTTAGGGTGCAGATATTAGCGTTCCAATAAGCATGTGATTATATTAAGGTGGTGGTAGCGGGAAGATAATCTTGATTCCATTGGGAATCTTAGGTTTTCGTAAATTTATTGGGAAAATAGTTTTTCCTGTACTGCTGAAGTTTCTTTTTGGTAAACAGTATCTTTCTAAAAGAAAAAGCATGAAGGAGAAATTGAGGTGTGTACATATCCTCAAATGACCAGCATTGTATTCGTGAATACTGTGTATCTTGCAATGAACAGTGTGGAAAGCTGTTCATTTTTCAATCTGAAGTAAAAATACTTTCAAGAACTTTTAGTTTGCCTGCTCATTTGTTTTTGTACATTTCATCTCTGTACTTGACTCCTGTCTTTTTTCTTTTTTTGAGTTCTAGTACTTTCTATAAAGATTTTGTGACTATATCAGAAATGTGTCATTTAAATATTACAGTCCATCCATATTCATGAGTCATAACCTTCCTTTGCTCGTACTTGTAGAATGGGGTCTTACAAACCTGCCTCGCTGTGGTGGCATTTCTCTGGCAGTCATGTATTATGTGTACCTGGTTGGTGTCGAAGCTCCTTGAAAAGTCATAATGAAAACATTTCAGTACTGGTTTTAGAAGTGCTGATAGTTCGTAGACGTGTCCACGCAAACCCTGAGTGGTTATGTGTTGATGACAAAGGTAAATGCATTTTTTCCCTCCAGTTTTAAGGTGTCCATTGAAGGTGCCTGGTTTTTAGTGTCTTTGTCTTGTTCGGAGATGTTGCACATGGTTTTCAAATCTCGCTTTGGTTACTGGCTTTACATGTAGTTGCCCTCCAGGCTTCAACAGTTGATCATACTATATTTTTGTCCTAATTTCAGTGTGTTTTACCTTTATTTGCATTTTGTGCTGGTCATTAAAACTTGGGTTATTTGCTTTGGCTCCAGATATTCCTGGGTAAAGTCTTCACAGGGTAAAAGCCGGCGTGCTAGGGACAGTGTGACTAATAGTCTTTTTTTTTCTCTCTGAAGTCTCGTACCTCCCAAGTGTTTTCTCATTCCCTCCCCTGTGTCATGGTAAGTGTGAGTTGTGTTTGTCTTAACCTGTGGACTAGTGTTTGGGGTTTCCAGAGCTATAGGCGGGCCAGAAGAGAGGATGGCCACGGTGAACTGTGGGACCCTCTTGCTGCCACGTGCTCACGGCAAAGACCTCTCCATTTAGGTTAGGATGTAGTTATCAAGGTTGCTCTGTAGAAATCCCTAGAAATCACCATTATCGGGGATTACCGTTAAGTTGTGTTGATATTCTTATTGTTCATGGTTGCGTGTCACTTTTACTTCAACGTTGACGTACAGTTTGAAACTGGTCCGTTCCTCCACTGAGAACATGCTGTTGATTTCTTAGTGTTTCAGTCACTAACTAGAAATGTTGATAGGAGATTGGTTGCTTCTCAATGAACTTTTCAGAAACTAAGTGGTAACATATAAAAAAGACATCCCCAATTTTGCTGTGATAAATACTGAAGTGTTAAATTAATGATCAGAAGAGTTCATTCTCACGCATCAGTTCTTGCTCTCCGAGCTCATTCAACGGCTTTGATTAGTGGAGAGCAACATTCTCATCAACTGTTTTGTGAGGAAAGCATTCCATAAATGGCTCTATTGAGCTTAATTGAGTAGAAACTTATATTTAATAGTCACTCTTTATTCTACATTTCATCAGTGACATAATTCATCTAGTGAAATATTTAGAGAATGGTGTAGCATCACCGTGGGAACAAAGATGTGTAAGAGCAGTTCCTCGGAAGTGCTGTCTGTATCTTGCCTCAGCTTCTGAACCTCAAGACTATCTTGTCAAAACATTTATGGGCGGAATCAACGTTAAAAGAACAAATTTCAGTACGCTGCTTGATATTTAACGTAACTAAGAAACAAGTCAGATTTTACCATGGAAGTTATTTGCGTGGTTCGTAAAGGACATAACCCAGAAGCCCGTTTCTCTCCCATCTTGTGAGCTGTTTTAACTTGACACCTTGAGCAACTTTTTTTTTTCCCATCAAAGATAATGACCTAACCAGCTGTAGAAATCAAATGTTGACAGAATTATTCACCAGGAGAATTGCTTATAAACTGCTGATCTACTTGCTATCCAGAATTAAATATTTACTTAAGGGCAGTTTTTCGTTAATACACTGCTAATGTTTGTTTTACTCTAATGCAGGTTTTGTGATTTTTAAGTATTTGGCCTTTACATTTTCTACTTAAGTATACACCCTATTAAATTTAACCTAGTCCACAGTCTACTAGCCAGAAGGAGGTCACACTGTAGGAGAGACTGAACGAGAGAGAGAGAGAGAGAACGCATCCCCTTTGGTAGTTGTGAACTTGAAGTATTTCCTGGATTTACTGAGAGAAACAGCCGTATCACTAAGAACAGACGATAACAGGAAATCTCTTAATTTGTGTATTTCAGCACAAGTGTTTATTAGTATTTGCACATCATTATCTTTGCATTTTAACGTGAGTCCCTGTGGTTCTGGACGGCCTTGTGTGCTTGTCATTGTGGCAGCTTCTATGTGACTACAAGCCTGTGGCCCCACTAAGGAAATAGTCTGGATGAATTTGCTAGGAGTGTTGTTTTACCTTAAAGATGCTGGAGTAATGACAGATGATGAAGTATCACAAGCTGGCCATTACCAGACCCGTGGGATGGGTGGGTCGGGGCAAACAGAGGCCCAGGAGAAGCATTATCTAAAGCCGGTAACCTGGTGAAGCTAACTTAGCCCTCCTGTCTTACGGATTGTAGTCACCCGTACCTTCTAAAGAGAGTGCAGTTATTTATTGGTTATCAGCCAGATTTTTTTGAGTTTAAATTTATCTCGCCTTTCAACTTGGGTTCTGTGCGGTCCATGGCTGTGCCCTAAATTGTTTCATTATTACGTTTTATATTTGGTTGCAGTTTCTCGTAGTATGTCTTTTTGTCCCTAAACTGAAATCTCCAAAATTTAAGATCCCTCTCTGATTTTTATATATTTAAGTTTGAAGGAGTCACTTAAAAAAAAAAAAAGTCTTTTGAAAGTCCTGTAATCCTAAAATAACCCAAAGACTTAATGACAAGTATCAGAATCTTCACTGTACTCATCGCTAAAAAGCACTGTCTTACTGCACAGTGTGGTGAACATGTAGTTTCTGGATATAAAATGTGAATGGACGATTGAGAGAAACCTCGTTTAGTGGAATATACATAGATGTATATATTTAGAAGTTTGGCGAGCCAGTGCTTGTTTTTAATAACCTTTTCATTTATTTCCTTCTTTGATTAGCATTGCCTTCTGTGTTAAGAAATGCGGACTCCTGTGAGGTGCTGGAGGTTTGAATCATCTTGAAAGCTTTCCAATCTTGTCTAGTTACCGCTGCAGAGGCACTAAGGAATTTACCAGAAAAAGAGATTTGATTCAAATGATTTATGAAATCTCGACATTTCCTGAGGTCATATCCTGGGCACCAGTTATCAATACTATGAATGAATTGCACACCTGGAAGCTTTTTTTTTTTTTTTTAACCTAACGACGATTTCTTCAAAGATGTCAATTG